TATATATATATATATATATATATTTTTTTTTTAAAACAATATACACTCATGACCAAAAAAAAAACCATTTACATGCACAAAGTAAAGTTGCCAGGATAATCAATAGTTAAAAAATTTCAAATATTAAATACAATAGTTTTAGTTTGTATCCAGTAAGGATTACCCTAATAACACTCAGTGTAAATGTTAGTATCTTACACTTTTAAACCTTTTATTAATTACTTCGTAACTAAAAGAACTCTGACAAGTGGCATTTAAAATATGTTTAGTTAAGCAACATTTTTGTCAGTAAAGATTCATAATGTGTTCAGTAGCCCTCACACGTTACTTTACGACTTCGTAGTCCTTTTCCACAGATCCCTGACAACTATCGGGAGTGGAACGTGCAGGCGTATCTTCAAATACGTTCTTTATTCCAAACATCATGTTGTGTAGCTTCTTACACATTGTGAGGGTAGCTAATGCAGAAGCTCCAATACTGACAACAGCTGCACCAATGACCAGGAGTACGCCACAGAAGAGCACAAACCCAGCAGTCAAGAGAGTCCCTAGCAAGATGGAATAACATTAGATCCTTACGCAATAAACTGAAATCTCAGAAAATGACTGGTTACTTTCAGGAAAACTATCTTTTCAACAATGCATTCAAAATATTAGTGCTTACGAGAGTTAAGAGAAAGGCAGAAGAAACTGGAAAGAGTAACAGGCCTTCCAGTGAAACCTATAAAAAACCTTTACTTAAGACTACCTGCAGTAGTTTTTATACCCTTGGCTTGAATTTTCCTTATTCTATCATTTAAGCTACACTTTCTAACAGGCATTATGTGTTAGATTGATAAATTCTGGTCCACTTCAAAAAGTTTTACATGGTCAGACAAAAACACATGTAGACATAACTTTATTTAGTAACACTACACGTAAATTAAACTATAAAATATAGTAATGGTATATATATAATAATGTACAGAGTAAAAAAAACATTTATGATCATTTAAAGAAACACAAAAACGAAGAATATGACTTATAGTAATCTATGAAACAAACTGAATGTAAAGTCTTAATAAGTTAAACTTAGCTGAATATGCAGAAACATCTGAATGTGTGTTCACAAAGTGTCGTATGAATGAACTGCACATGCTTATTTTAGACCTAAACAAGTCAAGAAAGTCCATAGCAATTGTTTTTTGTTGTTCGTTTTTTTAAGGAAATTAGATGTGGGTTAAGTGTTGTTTGTATGAAACACTTTACAAATAAAAAAATAAAGTTGAAATTGTAGCATACTTGTTGCACTAAAAGGTTTGACTAAACAACAAAACATGTAAGATATTCTGAATGAAAAAGTCAATATGCAATCTTGACTCCTTTGACAAAGGCCTTTCTAGCAATACAAGATTTGTAGCATTTGATCGAGAAATTTACATGAAAAGTTCCGGACAGACAAATATCTATACAGATGTCATAATCTGTGAAAGCACAATTATTCCAGTAAAGTTTTAAACCTAGGAAGTACAAAAGGTGTATACTAATGCCAGATTCACTTTATCCATCACAAATCAACTGTTCTTCAACACAGAAGAAATAAGTAGATCATAAATCCCATGCCCCACTGACGATCCACAAGATAAATCTCAAGTTCAACCTTTTTTTTAAAGCAGACGTAAACAATCTAAATGCATCAAGAAAAGTAATTTAGTAAGATTTCAACAGTCATAACTAAGACTTGAACATTACAATAAGTATCCAATGTTAGTTTTCACAATCAAATTTAAGGATTCACTCAATTCCCCAACCTTTTATAAACTTTAAATAAACAAAATGTCTACCTTCTAGTTTTCATTAAGAGCTGAATTGTGCTATCATATTTTAAACCAATTAGTAATTTTCTGTATTTCATGGGAAGTACTCACACAGCATTTAATAAATACATCCTAACCTGTTTACACTAAACAAAATATTCAAACAGTTAAACACAATTTAAAAAATCATTGAAACATTTTCAAGAACTCAAGATCACAATTCGAGCTTATCAGGAGAGCTGTACATTAACGAAAAATTATCCTCGAGCCTAAACAAAACTTAACATCAAGCTAGAATACCTTTGACTACCTTGACCCAGTTCAAAACACTTCTCATTTAACCTTAAAGTTTATCATTTATAAATAACCTCAAAGTCAGAACAGTATTCAGAAGCCACAACACAAACTAAACCACGTAAGGACAGTAAGAAACACCATTTACAGCATACCTCATGGATGTAGATGCCAATATCTTGCAGAAACAAAAAGACCAACAAAAGTTACAATAACCAAATAAGACTAGATAATACTGATGTATCTGTAGTCATCATGCTAAAGTAGACACCACACACTATGAATCACACATGAAAAAGATAAAAAGAATCTTTCTACATTTAGATAACTAATGACACACTTGGTTCATCTGGAAGTCAGACAAACATGAATACCTTCTTTAGAAAACAAATAGTTTAGTCAAGTTATAACAAAGGAGAACTCACTTGATTGGATAACAATTAGACTGGGGATTTAACCCTAGTAATTACCATGACAAAAATAGCCTTACTCGGGACTTCCCTGAAGATGGCAGTAATTCAACAGTGAAAATGTAGGATAAAAACTAATTAATATATACGTAATAAAACAAATGTAATAATTAGACTTAGGAGATAGTTTAAAGTACTATCCATGAGAAGTAGTGCTGGTCAGGACAGTAAAAGTTAAAGAACACTATATATTGTTAGTCAGGACAGTAAAAGTTAAAGAACACCATATATTGTTAGTCAGGACAGTAAAGGCTAAAAAACACTATATATTGTTAGTCAGGACTGTAAAAGTTAAAGAACACTATATATTCCTTTACTGTCCTGACTAACAAAATATATAGTGTTCTTTCCTTTACTGTCCTGACTAACTTAAAGAAAGCTATATAGTACTAGACAGGACAGTAAAGGTTAAAGAACACTATATATTGTTAGTCAGGACAGTAATGGTTAAAGAACGCTATATATTGTTAGTCAGGACAGTAAAGGTTAAAGAAAGCTATATAGTACTAGACAGGACAGTAAAGGTTAAAGAAAGCTATATAGTACTAGACAGGACTGTAAAGGTTAAAGAAAGCTATATGATACTAGACAGGACTGTAAAAGTTAAAAAAAGCTATATAGTACTAGACAGGACAGTAAAGGTTAAAGAAAGCTATATGATACTAGACAGGACAGTAAAGGTTAAAGAAAGCTATATAGTACTAGACAGGACAGTAAAGGTTAAAGAAAGCTATTTAGTACTAGACAGGGCAGTAAAGGTTAAAGAAAGCTATATGATACTAGACAGGACAGTAAAGGTTAAAGAAAGCTATATGATACTAGCCAAGACTGTAAAAGTTAAAGAAAGCTATTTAGTACTAGACAGGACAGTAAAGGTTAAAGAAAGCTATTTGATACTAGACAGAACAGTAAAAGTTAAAGAAAGCTATATGATACTAAACAGGACTGTAAAAGTTAAAGAAAGCTATATAGTGCTAGACAGGACTGTAAAGGTTAAAACACTATATATTGTTAGCCAGGACAGTAAAGGTTAAAGAAAGCTATATGGTACTAGACAGGACTGTAAAGGTTAAAACACTATATATTGTTAGCCAGGACAGTAAAGGTTAAAGAAAGCTATATGATACTAAACAGGACAGTAAAGGTTAAAGAAAGCTATTTAGTACTAGACAGGACAGTAAAGGTTAAAGAAAGCTATATGATACTAGACAGAACAGTAAAAGTTACAGAAAGCTATATAGTGCTTGCCAGTTTCAAATAAAATATTGTTCATTGTGTACATGAATTGTTACACTCTACTTTCCAAATTATTATATAAAACCTAAAAGGATTTACTTGTGGAGATGGGTGAACGGTTGAACTTGCAAATTTTAAAATAACTTTATAATAATCAGTTTTTTTACAAGAAATTTAATGGTGCTATTTATTTTGTATTTGGTGTAGTATTTAATGATTATTGCGCCATTTTTTTGTAATAAACATACAAACATAAGCACGTTTTGCACATAGAAAGTGTTATGGCGGGAGACACTCAGATCACCTTGCTGTCAATTCAGTATTTCCAAAAACAGTTTTCTTTAAATAGTGCTAAGTGATTTAGTAACTTTGTGAATTGAAAATTATTATTTAGTGATACAGGTGATTATGCCACTGAAGAAATGCCCTTTCTATGGAAAGTCTTCTGCCACTAAAAGAATGCACGCACAGGCTACTCAAAGACAGCAAGAAACTGTTGAACAGCACAAAGCCAGAGTTCAGTCAGAATCATCAAGGCAAGCTGGATATAGACAACAAGAAACTTCTGAACAACGTCAAACCAGACTTCCAGCACAAAAATTAAGACAAATAACTTACAGAGAACAAGAAACAGAGGAGCAACATGATGTACGACTTCAGGATCAAAGAACAAGACAAGCTCAAACACGATCTAATTTCAAATAAAGCTTTGTTCGATTAAATGTTTTTTTTATTTCTCGCATCACAGCTTTTGTCTACTTACTGAATAATTTCACCGTCCAATGCCGGGTAACTCAGCTATTATATATATAACACTTGTTTTATAATACCTAAAAGATATTACTTGTGTATATATAACACACAGAATCATATATCAAACTTACCTTCAATGAATAAGAAAGCAAACAGCAACGCTAACATCACTCCAAGAATAAAAGTTGCGAAAGCTATCAGAGGGATCGAACACAGACTTGCAGCAACTGTGACACACAGTGACAAAACCGGGTGCTCTTGACACATTTCTATCCAACTCAGCACCAGCTGGTTATCTCTCAGCCAAGTTCGGGCTTTCTGTAACATGACTCGAAGTTCCACTCCCAGAGTCTCCATGCCAGAAGACATGGTGTTGGCTTCTTCACGAGAAGTCTAAACAAAATTAAAATGGTAATAAGTAGTTACACAGAAATGTATTCATTATTTTCAATTCCTATGGAATACATTCCTGTCAATCTAAGTCCATTATTAGGCTCTGTGTTCTAGTTGTGTCTGAATATCATACATTCCTGTCAATCTAAGTTCATTATTAGGCTCTGTGTTCTAGTTGTGTCTGAATATCATACATTCCTGTCAATCTAAGTTCATTATTAGGCTCTGTACTCTAGTTGTGTCTGAATATCATACATTCCTGTTAATAATGGACTTAGATTGTATGATATTCAGACAAACTAGAACACAGAGCCCATTCCTGTCAATCTAAGTCCATTATTAGGCTATGTGCTCTAGTTGTGTCTGAATATCATACATTCCTGTCAATCTAAGTCCATTATTAGGATCTGTGTTCTAGTTGTGTCTGAATATCATACATTCCTGTCAATCTAAGTTCATTATTAGGCTCTGTACTCTAGTTGTGTCTGAATATCATACATTCCTGTCAATCTAAGTCCATTATTAGGCTCTGTGCTTTAGTTATGCTTGAATATTACACTCAGTATTAATAGTCATGCTTGTTTGCATTTTTTACAATTATACTTCATGTATGAAATCACTGAAAGTGTTTAATTAAACAATCATATTTAATTTAACATTTTTAACCCTAAAATCACATCTCAAGGAAGCCCAGATTGGTGATAAACCTGGAGTATACAACATTCAAAAAAAAACTTTGAATTTACTAAAAGCATTAAAACTACAGCTATGGATTAGTGCTTCCAGCCTGTGAAGTCAAAATGTTAGTAACTTTACACTGAAAAGTTATCCAAAACTTATTTATTGTTGCTTTGACCAATATTTTCCATTTTTTGGCCAGAAGATAATTATTTTTCCTACTTTATCTTCCAACATAGAACAAAGTAAGTGAATAAAGAAGACTATGGAAACATCAAATCTTACGCCTCCTGTTAGTCGCAACTACAAAGTGAAAGTTTAAAAAAATTTTAAGCACAATAAATGCAGTCAAAGCTGATGGGACATCCATTGAAGATAAAGGAATAGAGGGAAAAGAGAGTTCCCAAAAAGAAAACTAAAACTGAAAAGAAGAAAGCTTCTGCTTCTTGCAATGCAACAGTTGCTGTCATCTTCGATCTATCTTGAGGACAGATATTCTGATGTTGGTAAAGCTCATCCATTGTTTCTTTTGATTATTGTTTGCACAAATATACAAGTTTCTGACCAAGTTTACACCAAAAAAGATCAGTTTATACTCATAATAATAGGTAAAATTTGATAACTTTGTTTTTGTACTGATATTACAATCAGTAGACCCAGATCTAAATGACAACAATCTACAATAAATAATTAGTACAACCAGATCTACTGATTTGGATTTTGCCCTGGTTAAGTTGTAAATTCAAAGTTAATTTAATCTAGGTCAACAAAATAAGCAAACTCATGACTTTTTTTAAAGAAATGTAACCCATACTACACCTAAAAAAATAGGTTGCTGCTGTACAAATTCACTGCCCATAAGTTTCAACTATTCAAAAAATGTCATTCTTTTCTTAAAGAATTGTATTATTTTTATTACAATTTATTTTTTTTATTACAGATGTAATCCCTATATATGTCTATAGTTCATATAAGAATTTCATTTCATTTTGAATGTAACAATGGACAGTAAACAAGTTTACTTCCAAACAGTGCAAACAAAAGAAAAAGTTATTTTTACTCAATAACAATACAAAGTAGAATTGGTGGAGCTGTAAAAATCATGAAACATTCCATTACCATCATGTAAATTGTTTCTTTGTTAAATTTTCCCGAAACAGACTAACATTCTCAGTGGAACTATGCCCAAGACTACAAAACAAAAAACCTTGACCTCAAGAAGTGACTTCCATTTGTTCCCATCAACAAAGACAAATCACACCAATGTTCTATATGTTGACTGCAGACAGCTATAAGATCAGATTTTAATGTTTAGTAGAATTACAGTTTTCAGGTGTCTAAGAAATGGTAAAGTTCCCCAGCCACATATTACAAACGAAGGTTTCAGCTATTGTTTCACTCTACATGTATTACAATTTCCAAGGTATCAAAGATTCAGAAAACTGAAGCTTGAATTTTTTAAACATTTCAGATAAAATCTATTGTAAAAGTTATACACAATGTTTTATAGGTTTGGTTTGTTAACTAAATTATTTTTTTAATTATAGTAAAACAAGTACAGCTAAAAAAATTGTATAGTAATGTTGTACTCATTTTAATATAAAAATGAAATTTGCTTACAATTTTCTTCAGAGAAAGAATTATCAAGCAAGAAATTAATACTTAAACCATACTTCAAAATAACCAAGAATTTAATACTTAAAACATACTTCAAAATAAAAACTTTTAACGTTATATTCAATGTTAGAGAACACTTTAAAACAATGATACTTTTATTTTTCAATCAGGTAGTCTATCCAGGTCAATCACAAACTTTTCAATCTGTAAAAAATTGTTTTTTTCAATTACCTAATCTAAATAAGTGTGAAAAAAATTGATAAAACCATTTCTAGAGTTTAGATTTTAACTGGATTAAAATTTTTCTTTTTGTTTGGATAAGCTCATGTTATATAACTTTGGTCATAAAGAGCCACAACTAAACACACTTGAACATAGTGAGAAATGACCATTGTCCATAAACTACTGATGGCAATATTGCTGCTACTTTATAATTTAAAATTGAATTATACAGTATAGATCCATCATAGTCTAATGGTTTCAGGGGATGTGACCGAGATGTTTAGAGGACAGAAATTTTGGTAGTGTAGGAATCATCTTCAATCAACGTAGTTATATTTTTTTAACAGGGTGGTTTGCCTTTAGATGTTGCGAAAGCAGTAAATGTATGGGAAAACATGACAAATATTTGTTTGTTAAGCTAAGTTTGTTTGTTTTTAATTTTAGTAACTTAGTGGATGGCATAACAGGCGAGTTGTTGTCTTTAAATTCTATATCTCACGTTATTAAAATCTTTACTATGGGTACAAATTAAGATATAAACTTATAATTTAAGTTGTTGTTCATCCATACCGAAATACTAGTAAGTAACACTTAACAGCGACACTGCAATAGCGGTTCTTGACGAGGTGAATTATAATTTATCAAACGCAAGAAATAGTCACACACGAAATACTGTTAATAAGAATTAGAACAATATTTGCTCATTTTTACTTACTCTTAAAAAAGTACGACTGTAAGAAAATTCTACTTTACACAAAATCATTACAAACTTACCACTCCTAATGATACTAATAATATTGTCACAAGCTCTTCTATTACTTGTGTTTGCTTCAAGGGCCTTGTGATTTGAAACGAATAGAGGTCGCTGCTTCTCATGCGAATAATTTTTTTAATATCGATCTTTTGATGATGCGACACTTTTCATAAGTTGTTGAAACTTTAAATTGAGAAAAATACAATGAAGTTGATGGAGAAATGTATTACAGCCTATTTAACAATTATAAGTATCTTTAAAAACTTACAGCTTTTAAAAGTAAGTGTAAAAGCTTTGTCATAAAAATAATAATTGCAAATACTCTAGTGCTTGGGGTATAATTTTTGGCATTCCCTTTTTAATGAAATAAAAAAGGAATACATTTAAATATCTTATTGACAGCCGATAAATCGGGATATTTACCAACGAATAGTGGGATGGACCTGCACTTAACAATCCCTCGACTTGAAGATTACGAGTCAAGTGTCCTAACTTCAAGGCCATGCCAGCCCTCTGGATATTGTAATTTTCTAGTTGGTAGTACAAGGCGTTTAATTTGTAATACTTCAGCATACACTTCATTGCTGATGAGCTTGCAAAGCCACATTGGGCTATCTGTTGTATCCACCACGGAGAATCGAACCCTGGATTTTAGCGTTGATAAGTCCGTAGACTTACCGTTGTCCCATCGGGGGACTGTCAACTTTGAATCAAAATCAGTTTTATTAGTAATTTTGAATAGTGCGAGTTACCTGCATGTTAAAATTGACACTTTATTTCACCATGCAGTACTGTAAATCATCTGTTGTCTTTTGTGTTGATGCTCAAACACTTACATGGCTGGATTTTCATGATGACAAAAAAAAAATTCAGATATGGTTGAAAAGTGTACATTATTTTTTACAAGTGTTCGAAATGAATGCTGAGTCTTACATTGTGGCAATTTTATGGTACCGGCCCTTACACCTTCTGACATGATAACGGTCCATGTCACAAAGCAAGGATTGTGAAAGCGTAGTTTGAAGAGAATAACATTGCAGTGGCCAGTACAGAGCTCCGACCTCAACCCGATAGAACATCTTTGGAATAAACTGGGATGCAGAATTACGGCAAGACCAAAACGGCCCTCTTGTAGTGGAGCTTACTAATGCTTCAAGAGAGTGGAGTACACCACCACCAGCTTTCTACCAGACATTAGTAGACAGTTTTCCACGACGCACTGAAGCAGTCATTAAGGCCAACACGCTATTAATTTCTTGAAATATAGACGTTTTATTCATAACTACCCGTGTCCCATGATTTTTCGGTAGGATAGCGTATATATATATAAATTAATAAATCACTCAGACCACAGTTCAATTATTCACTCCTTCTTTGAGCTGTTAAAACTATGTACAGGTATATGTGTCAGATATTGTAGCCCTTTCAATACATTTTGATAGCTTCGTGATATCTCCAACTTCACTGGAGTTTTTTTGTCTACCAGGAACTCATCTCCTTGCCATTTACCATCATCAGCTCATTCCATGCTTCACTCAGTCCTGAGAGAGCCGAGCTGACCATTAAACTCTTTGATGTAAGAAGTTTGCTGTGTTCCCCCAAGCCGGTGGCCAAACCCAACGTGGCTCCTTCAGTTTATCCTTATTGCTTGCTGTTCACACCGAACATACTAATCCGACGGTTAGTAACTCTAACCTTGCCCACTTCAATGGTCAGCAAAGTGTTGATATTGTGGGTTGGCTGAAACCAGTGACTATGCCGGCTTTACTGCTCGGCAAAGAATGGTCAGTTCCTTGGTCCGTGCCTCTCCAGTCCAGGAGCAGAGCAAATGCTTTGGTGTGCACGTCCTGGTTGATGGCCAGATGGAGGCATTTTTTTGCAGTAGATATCCTTACTGGTGGGCCTTGTGGTGGCACATCACCTTTGATGAGACTGGGATAACCAGTGTGGCTGCATCTCAGTACCAGGATTTGTGGTTGACTAATTAACCCTTGTTCTGAGTTTAATTAAATACAATATATGTATACTGGTATCACCATCTACTGGCAGAATAACCCCTGCAGGTCTCTTACTCTCCAACAGTAAGTTAGAAGTGATCAGTTGTGACAGACTCTGAGAGTGAGGATGTCCCCTAATAAATTTGTCAACAAGGACATCCTCCCAATTTGCAGAGGCTATTGCCAGGTATAGCCTTTCTTTCCAATCCTCTTTACAGCCTTCATCTCGGTGCGTTAGTTACTTCACTTTCGTAGCAAAATGCTGAAAATCTGTCATGTTTATCGTTGCTACCATCTTTATATATATATTTTTTTTGTTCATATAAGGGTTCCAACTGATGAATCACGTGTGTAGGCAAGAAATTTAGATTTCCGCCGTCCACATAAAACATAACTGTATGTATCTAAAAATCAAAATCATTTTAGGCCTTTTAATTATTTTAAAATGTTAATAAAATATACACGAAGTTTACTTTTGATGTATTCGTGGAAACAGTTTGAACTATACCAATCGTTCCTTTCATATAATAAATGACGGAGTTAATTGAAGAATTAGTTTAAACAGGATCCAATGTTTAGATTCAACATGATAAATATGACGGTAGCCAAAGTTGATTGAAGGATTAGTTTAAACAGGAACCAATGTTTAGATTCAACATGATAAATATGACAGTAGCCAAAGTTGATTGAAGGATTAGTTTAAACAGGAACCAATGTTTAGAATCAACATGATAAATATGACAGTAGCCAAAGTTGATTGAAGGATTAGTTTAAACAGGATCCAATGTTTAGAATCAACATGATAAATATGACGGTAGCCAAAGTCGATTGAAGGATTAGTTTAAACAGGAACCAATATCTAGATTCAACATGATAAATATGACAGTAGCCAAAGTTGATTGAAGGATTAGTTTAAACAGGAACCAATGTTTAGATTCAACATGATAAATATGATGGTAGCCAGTTGGTTGAAGGATTAGTTTAAACAGGAACCAATGTTTAGATTCAACATGATAAATATGACAGTAGCCAAAGTTGATTGAAGGATTAGTTTAAACAGGAACCAATGTTTAGATTCAACATGATAAATATGACAGTAGCTAAAGTTGATTGAAGGTAATGCTAGTGAAGGCTTTAGGTATAACCAGACTAAACAACTACGTAATGCCCCGAACAGATCAAGGAGCCTCAGATCATTGAGAAAGATACTGGTGCAGTGTTGTTATTGAGAAAGATACTGGCACAGTGTTGTTATTGAGAAAGATACTGGTGCAGTTTTGTTAATGAGAAAGATACTGGTGCAGTGTTGTTATTGAGAAAGATACTGGCACAGTGTTGTTATTGAGTAAGATACTGGTGCAGTGTTGTTATTGAGAAATATACTGGTGCAGTGTTGTTATTGAGAAATATACTGGTGCAGTGTTGTTATTGAGAAAGATACGGTGCAGTGTTGTTATTGAGAAAGATACTGGTGCAGTGTTGTTATTGAGAAAGATACGGTGCAGTGTTGTTATTGAGAAAGATACTGGTGCAGTGTTGTTACTGTGTGAGTTGAAATTACTTTTTAAGACGTATATTAGGATATGTTGTATGGGTGTATCTTTGGTTTGTGAAAATGTTGCAATTATTATTTTTTTGGTGGTGGATGAGGGGAAAACAAGAATATTCCTATTGAAGGTCCCCAAGGGGCTGGTACTGTTTTTTTTGTGATGCCACCAAAAATTAATCACTTAAGGGTATGTAACAGTTACTTCTGATGCAAAATATGAATACATTCAGATCATAAAAATGTGTTCATATCTGGAAATCAAAATTTCTAAGACAAGAATATCTCTTGTACATTGAAAACCAAAATAATATGAAGCATCTTGGAGCACTAGGACTATCCAGAAAGAGACTTGCAACAAGTCATATCCCACCTATGTCAAGCAAGTGTAGCATCTTGTAAAAGGTAAAAATTCCTGACCACTAATGTCAGTGGCAAAAGCTGTCCCTATGTCCCAGGCAACAGTATGCAACATAAACAAGAAGAATCTCCATCTTTAAATAAGACCAACAATGTATAGGTTCACCAAGGCTACCAACTGTTCAACTGTTCAACTGGCACATACCTCAAGCAGCTGGAGAATGAAAAGGGTATTCATGTTACTCCATATAAAGACATACCATAAAAATCACCAGATGCAGTGCTATGGATTTCTGTGAAAGCAAACTGTTGAAACAGATGTCATCATATATGTGAAGGATTATGGAAAGATGTAAGGAGTAGTGTGCTTTGTACATGACAGCCTTAGGACAGAGCCTTTTGCAATGGAAACTACAATGCAGGGCTATTTTCAAGACACATGGTCTTTAGATAGACTATGACTGGTCAACGCAACATGGACTGTAATGATGTGGAGAGGCTCCTAAGTTGTTGTAATATAACATACTCAACCCTTTGAATGTCCTAAATCCATTATTTAACAATTACTAAGTATTTTCTTCTGAAAATTATCACAAAGTATCCACTACAGAGTCCACATTAGTCTTACATTACGTTTGAACTTAGCATTTTAAAAGAAGATGGAGAATAGATTAAAAAAAGTGTCATTAATATTTTGTTACTTTCAATAAAATAGAAATAAAGATAAAAAATGGTAGCCCTAACAAATAAAGATAAAAAATGGTAACCCTAACAAATAAAGGTAAAAAATGGTAACCCTAACAAATAACGGTAAAAAATGGTAACCCTAACAAATAAAGGTAAAAAATAGTAGCCCTAACAAATAAAGGTAAAAAATGGTAGCCCTAACAAATAAAGATAAAAAATGGTAACCCTAACAAATAAAGGTAAAAATGGTAACTCTCACAAATAAAGGTAAAAAATGGTTAAATTACCAATTATTTCTCTGTCCAATGTTGGTATTGTTCTAGAACTATATGCTCTTATAGGTTAGGCATCTTTCCAGCAAGTAAGAGGAAACTGGTTGGACAGGGTTTGTAAAATACCTCAACTTGGTTAGTAATTGGATGGGACATTACCCTTATTTACAAAAAACACCATCCAAGCCAGTCAGGACATTACCCTTATTTACCAAAAACACCATCCAAGCCAGTCAAACATTACCCTTATTTACAAAAACACCATCCAAGCCAGTCAGGACATTACCCTTATTTACAAAAAACACCATCCAAGCCAGTCAGGACATTACCCTTATTTACAAAAACACAATCCAAGCCAGTCAGGACATTACCCTTATTTACAAAAAACACCATCCAAGCCAGTCAGGACATTACCCTTATTTACCAAAAACACCATCCAAGCCAGTCAGGACATTACCCTTATTTACAAAGTGAAGGTTGTGGTGTATTTTGATGAGGAAGATGGCTACAGTCCCACGGTGCACTTCCAATGGTCTGCTTAGGGGAAACGATAGATCTGAAATACTAGCTAGTTTACAGAAAGATACAGAAGGTGGGGAGACACCGATGTGTTGTTTCTAATGGAAACAATGATGCAGAACCATATATGGTCTTCAGTAGTAGTAGTAGTTCAAACCTTTTACCTAGTTTACAAAAAGTGTCGAAGACTTCTGTACACTTGGCAGCAAATTTAGGGTCTTTATAGAAACACCTGTAGCTAGTAACAAAAAATTGTTGAAAATCTGTACAGAATATATGTGATGATACATTTAGACACGTAACACGTACTGAATATACATATTGTTAGACAAGAATTACACATGGTCAGTACGTTGTATCTTAAAGTCCGTAAAATTTATAATATGTACATCCCTCTAAAATAATAATAACGCACTGTGAGTCCATCTATATGGAAGTTGAACAAATCGTAGAAAATAAACACCTTAAACATTAATAATTTTAAAATTGT